TATATATATATATATATATATATGTTTTCAATGACTATAAACAACTAAACTGAACATGGTGCAACATACCCAGGAACAACCAGAAGAGGTACAAAGTGCAACAGCTGCTTGATATCGAGACCACAGTCCAACATAATACGGACCCCCTTGAAGAACAGAATGAAGCATGGCTTGCTGGGGTTGTCTGAGAGACACACCTGTATAAATGAGATGAGAATTTACATAGTTTTCATTGTAATAAAATGACAGCTCATTAAGTACAAAAATATAAAAAATAACTAAAAATTACTGAGCACTCGAAATAAAATCTTGCTAAATATCCTAGTAACTTTCGAAACAAGTTTTAAACAGAAAGGACAGCAATAGTAAACCCATGGCCCACTATAACAAAGTGAAGGAGAGAAATTTTTCAGGGTATGCATGTCGCACTAAATATTGTCGTGGCCTGGTTTTCTGTCACATCAATCAAGTTTTCGACTGACCATAAAATAAGTTACAGTCACACAGATTAACCCACATTAGACCCTCTTGCATTCTCCACCACACTGATAACAACTAATGCCAAAATTCTTTAAGACTACAGCAATAGTAAACCAACTACAAAACAAAGCGAGTGAGAGAAGTTCTTCAGTGTATATATCATGTCGCACTAAATATTGTCTGAAAGCAAAGTGAGTGTCAGAGTGATTCTTTCCCAAACAATGGTTAACGGATCCATCATGAGTTTCTGACATTTTTTTGCCACATACATGCACCACACGATGTGTTTTCAATTAAAGAATCTAAGTAGAATCCCTAAAAAGTAAAAGATAGATCAGAAGGTTTGTAGTCATGTAGTGTCAGCAGTATAGGAAGGTCCTGTTCAATTATACAACAGATTAACTTCAACTTCAAAAGGCGATGTCACTTTTTAAGTACGAGTGGCATTGCCATTATGATTATTATTGTTATAATAAGACCCTTAGGTGAAGCCTGTCTGGGGGCTCTCATGGCCAAGAGGTTAATTTTAAGGTGTTGACTTCTCATTCAAAGGTCCCAGGTTGGAATTCGGTGGGTAGCAACCGAAAAATTTTCTTTTCAAAAATTGTCTCCTTTCACCTCATTTCCTGCTCTCTAGCAATGTTCAGTCGTCTGCTTTCGTCTCCTTTTTTTGCCCCAACCCCTTCACCTCCTTTGCCCCCTCCTCTGGGCTCCTGACTCTTTCTCCAGCCTTTATACTTTTACTCCTTGGCTCCTTCTTACTGTTGTCTTTCAGCCACACCCCTGATCTTCTGGTAGGAGAAAGATCTACACCTAGCCTTCTTGGACAAGGGCGAAAAATCTCGGAGGGCCTGTGTGCAAGTTGCGCACGTTAAAGACCCCTTGGTGGTCTAAAATTGATGAGAGTAGGCTTCGGCCGCCACCCCGGCAAAATTCAAAATTTCCTACCACCTGAAAAAGTTTAATGAGTTCCGCACTCTCATATATATGACCTTATTATATATGCAGTTGCGAGCGCCATAAAACACTTATAAAAAAACAACAACAAAAAAACCGAATATGTGTATTAATAGAACTCTAGATCTAAGTGACGAAAACATCACGCTCTTGGCCCGATGGTAGGTGGCGATCCGCCCCACTTTTTGTCACTGGCAGCTGCAGTGAGTTACAAGTTACCGATCTGATGCGCTATTATTTGCTCACAACGAGACTTGTGACAAGTCGAAATCTACGCATGGACTATGTTCACCGCTCCCTGAATGTAGTCTGCAATTTAAGAATGATTTTGCTCGTCCACCCTTTTCCCTGCCTTTTGCTTCCTTTTTTTCAGCCCCTCACACGCCTCTTCCCGCCTTGGCCTTTTTCAATTCTCTGTTTCTTTGAACGAAGTGCTTTTATTTTCAAATTGTCAAGCGTTGATGGGTCCGCACACTGGCAGAGAATATTTACTAAGCAGTGTTCCGTGTGCTGAGCGAGAGAGGCCTTATTATCAACCGCGGCTGTTTTGCTGTGCATGCCTTCGCCCTCTTTAAACTGTTGCATTCGGCTAGACTACTACTGCATTATTTTTACGACTATTTCTCCGAAAGCTCAGGAAAATAAACTTGATCTCTATTTCTTCGAACGGTTTCCGTTGTCGAGATTTTTTTTGTTATTTGCGAGATTTAGGCGTTATCTTTCATCCTGCCATTCTGCGAGGACTGTGAAAAAGCATTTTTTTTGCATCGAATTCAATTTCTAGAGATTTTTAAATTCTGAAATATTCAGATCAGTTTGGTTGGGGCAATGTTCCCGGACTACTTCATTTGAAAATATGCCTTCAAAAGGCACTGTGAGAAGTCACCGCTAAAGCAAGCACTAAAATCCTTCATGTAAACAAAAATAAAATCCCTCTAGCACCACTCCCCCCCACACCTCATACATACACACACACACACACACACATACGCGCGCGCGGGCCTTTCTATTCGCAAATTATAAACAAATCTCGAGAACGGAAACCGTCCGGAGAAATAGAGTTCAAGTTTAATTTCCCGAGCGTTCGGAGAAATAGATCAGATCTAGATATATAGAATCTAGATCTAGAGCCCGCCTTATTTTTACCCTGTAGCCTACTGTTTCCTCATTCACTGACTGACTGAGAGCGACCGTAGCGTTTCAGTCGTACCTTTGAGCCAATGGTGGATGATTAAGGGCGCTATGAACGTAGCCCACAAACTAAGTTCACAGAGCCGTGAAAATAGATCTAAATCTAGATCTAGAATCTAGGTCTAGATCTAGATGTAGATGTAGTCACTGCAAGAAATCTACAAACAAGAGACAGTCAGCAGAGGGTGCAAGCCAAGTTGAGGGTACAAAACAAAGAAGAGAAAAAACAAAGATATTTACAAGCTTCATGTTGACTGAATCAGATTCCACACAATCAAACAAGGGCAAACCAGAGGAGAACAGATTATGGCTTTGCCTGACAGCAATACATAGAAACTAAAAAGTCAATTGTTTTATTTGAACCACTTTCGCTTTTGATTGTAATGAGAGTCCATGGTGGTCGCCATTAACGGAAGTTTAAGATATAAACCGGACAATATAATTTTTTTGTGAAAGTTTCAAAGTAGCCTAAGCTAGATCTAATACTTTTAGACTTTTATTTTCTATTTTATCTTTGATTTTACTTCACTGTTCACCTTTTAGAATAAATCAACCTTATTCTAAGAAGATTATTACACAATATTCGCGAGTTGGGATTTCTCGTGTCTTCTGAAACTCCAGCTGAGCTCCAACTTTTTAACATTACTCTCAAAATGTGTTGTGAGGGACGCTAGCTTCTAATCAGACTGCTTCCAATGTGAATGTAAATGAACGGTAAGCTCAGTAGAATCATTGGGAGTTTTTCATTTTATTGTCAGCACAGACTATGTGTCGATATTCTACTCAGCAATAATTGTATGCTCTTACACTTTGGAAAAAGGTTTAAAAGATCCTCCCGATTCAGTATGATACTTAGGCTAGAATCTATGATTCTTCAAAGCCATCGCTTCTTTTAGGGGACTTAATTAGGGGAAAGCGAATTGTTAAATCATGATTAAATAAGACCTGTTATTCAAATCTCTTCCAATTTGAGACTCAACAAAGAGGTAAAAAAAAGCTCCTAAAAGTTTGCAGTTAAAATGGTATCCGTAAATGTTTCTGTTCACATTGAAGTCTCCAGTGCATTTTAAGGCCACCTCTATTCTCACCCGGGGTGAGAATAGTGCAGACGAGTCTTTTGGCTATTCTCACCCGGTGCGCGTTCACCGTTCTAGGCCAACAAATTTTGTGTTCACCCTAAACCACAGAATTCTACACTGTGATAACAGAAAAATTGTAGAATTCTGTGCCGTAAACAAACGTTCCATTACAACTGTAGCCTACTAAAAGCGTACAATTTTGTCTGTGGGCAGTGGAGAGAGAGAGAGAGAGAGGGAAAGAGAGAGAGAGAAAGGAGTAGTGCGAGAACTTCCGGTCCAAAAAAAATGGCGACCCGCGTAGTTCGGCTCGATTCGAAAAGTTAAATAGCCGTAGCATCTTTGTAGACAACCAAATTAATTTACTTTTGTGTTTTAACATCATTTTTTAACTTTGTTTTGGTCAATTTGATCGTCCACACCGATAGACAGTATTCAGAAAGAGACAGAGAGAGAGAGAGAGAGAGAGAGGGGAGAAGTAGATCTTGCGAGAACTTCCGGGCAAAACAAAATGGCGACCGCATAGTTCGGCTCGCTTCGAACAGTGAAATAGCCATAGCATCTTTGAAGACGATCAAATTAGCTTACTTTTGTGCTATAACGTAATTTTTTCTTGGCTTTTATTAATTTGATCATCCACATCGATAGAAAGTATTCCGAAATTAGGAAAAACAGGTCTTGTTTCAAACGGGTGAGAATAGCCTACAGTCGCAAGTCTCACCCGGGGTGAGAGGTCGATCGTATTTCTATTCTCACCCCGGATGAGAATAGCATTTTAATTTCATCTTCAAAAGCTAAATGACAATTTATAAGTGCAACCCGAGATGCGACTAGATTCTAGATCAAGATCTAGTGAGAGATATTTCACTCGTCAGCTGGCCCCTCTTCGCATCATGCTATTTACACGAGATATGTGATGCAGTGCCTCGACACTGTTTCATGCCGTACATTTCATAGTCTGTTCCTCTCAAAGTCAAATTTAAGTCACTTCCCCTTATTATTTCCAATTTAATACAGTACAGGGGACAGAGGGAGGAGCGAGGGAGTCATCTCAGTCAATACGTCGGAAGTAGTGATACAGTCCGTGCCGGCTTTAAGCACGCTAAATTTAACGGCTCTTACTGAATTTTTGCTATATAAATTACACGCCTTTAAGCACGGTAACTTCGGCTTCAGGCACGCTTCATTTACAAGACAGTCAATATTTTCAAGATGACCCATCGAAGTTCGAACACAGTCTACACCGCAGCAGTGGAGTGTGTCAAGAGAAACACAAAGAACGCAAGTGATGGACACACACACTCACACGGGCGGAGAGGAAGGCAGAGAGATGAACACAGCCGCGTGCGCGGACATAAGATCTAGCCTAGGCCTAGGGCAAAGCTACACTCGACCAAAAAAAAATACAAAGAGAGTCGGGGAGACGAGAAAGTGAGGCTGGCTGCGATTTCACCTTTGACCTTCGCTATCCATTAATCCTGATTGTGTATCACGTGCGAGGTGGGATGAAGCTGGTGATATGAGTGGCACAGCGGGCAGTGGTACACACAGGCAGTGTGTAGGCCTTGTGTGCTGTATCGTGACTGGCCGTCTAAATTAAGTTTTCTTTTCCTATTCGACCACAAAACAAAAACAAATAAGCGAACAAAAACTACCCTGGCGGGTGTCTAAATAACAGTGCACACTTTTGCGGGACCGCTATAGGCCTACCTACAAACAAAAGGAAATAGCACGGGAAATTTTCTACATGAAAATCTCTGGATTATGTCTACTTCGCACTCAAGCACGCTTCGGCTTTAAGCACACTTTTAAGCTTTCTCCCGATGACCGTGCTTAAAGCCAGCATGGACTGTATGTGGTGAAGTTGATAAATAAATGGGCACATAGTTAATAAATTCATCAAATTTATGCTCCAAGGAAGGAAAAAGAAGAGGAAGAATTAGAAGAAAAGGAAGAAGAAGAAAAAGAAGAGGAGGAGGAGAAGAAGGAGCAGGAGGAAGAGAAGAGAGGAGGAGAAGAAGAAGAAGAAGGAACAGGAGAAGAAGAAGAAGAAAATGAAGAAGAACAACAACAAAAACAAGAACAAGAAGAAAATGACAAAGATAAAGGAGTAGAATTAGAAGAATATAGAAAAGATTTGGCGTACTGTGCACACTAAATGCAATGAGATGCGGGCCAGGAATAAGGAATGTGGACGTGACCAAGACAGGCCAATAATTATACTGACTGAGAGGAAACATGCAGTACATTATGTTTTGAATTTATCATCAAAATATTGACTAGAATCAATAGAATGTTCTGACTCCGTCTTTTATTCGTGGATGTGGATATGACGCGATGGTAAAGAAAGAGAAATGGTGTTAAAAACCCATTCGACCAACCCCTTTGCTTTATTAAAGAAAACAATAAGGTGATTCATCGGTTGTGAGGAACAGCTAGACTATTAGTTGTACGGCGTGAAACTTTGACCGGATGTCTGACCCCAATCTCGCCTGAATCGAGGAGTGACACGTCTCTACTTTTTTGTCTCCAGTGCAACTCAACACTTGAAGCTCTTTTCGAAAAGAAATTTATTCTAATTTATGTTTTTAATCTGCAGACTTTGTTTCCCTGAGCTGTTTCATTTGGTTGTGGTATGCCTCCCGGAGTGCAATAACTGTCAGGTCATTTGAGATGATGAATGTCCGATTTTACGTCCTTCTCTGTTAGGACGTAACAGGAAGCCATGAAAACGATTGAAAGCCCTTTAAACAACCTACGTTCAAGAACACACAAACCTTGATTTGAACCAGAGGGCATCACTCAGAGAGAAATAGCAATAATAGATTAGCAAGCTGCAAATGGGGCACCTAATTCATTAATGCTGTGCTCTCACCAAATCCAGACGTTGACAGACTCGGAAACTAAAGTGGAAAAGGATTCTTTTCATCTCTGTTTATCACTGCAAAAACTAGCTGGTTAATAGGAGCATTACGTACTGAGCTCTGTTTTACAATGACAAGGGGAGATATCAAGTCAATGTACACAGATGTGTTTAAAAGTGGACTTGTTTATACATATGGGTGGATCACTATTTTCTATTGATTTCCAGTGAGTGTGAAATACATTTTCATACATTAAATGAAAGGTAAAAGTATAAATGCATGCTGTGTGGAAGTTTTGCCTCTCAAAAATAATATTTGATACATGAGACACATGGTCCGAAGTTTCCACCACGCTTGTCCAATGTCTTCCTCAGAGTGGGGTGGTTTTGGACATCTTAGGGTGCTTCGGATATGATAATCTGGAGGTAAAACGTGATGATGCATGAAGCTGATATATATGTAAGTGGGAATGCCCAAATAGCTTACAATAATGGTGAAACCTTTTTCTTTGGCTGAAAGCGAGCTGTGGAGCCAAACGTAAAGTATCGGAAGCCTCTCACTCGATTCGAAAGCTTTAGTTGATATTTAGAATTGTTTGGGCTCTAAATAAGGCCAATATATTGCTGCCAAGCTTCAGGAAATGACCGTTGTAAATTTTGTTGTTTTTCTTCAAGGTAGGTGCCCAAATGTTTCCATGACTTATTAAAGTGTTTCTTTCAATTTTTCACAGCATTTTGCCTTGAAATAAGGGCTTCAAAAGTTACAAGATGGCTTCCACTAAAGTCTCTCATGATGATGACAACCTGGATTTCAATAAGATAGAAGCAGAAGTACAGAAAGCAGTGGACAATGATGCTAAATACTGGCGAGAGAATGACGCAAAGATCAGAGCTGTAGAGCAAAGAGTTGGAACATATGATGAATTTAGGTTTGTACATGTTCAGTAAAAATAAACTTAATTTTAAATTAAAAAACTGTTTTAGTACACTCTTTTCATCGCATTTTCTGTGAGAAAATTCTTCCAGAGTGAGACAAATTGAATTTTAATGTTTGAGTGTATGTTGCAGGGGAGTTATATTACTTTGAAGTGTTGTCCATGAGCTCGCTACCAGGGCATTCAATAATCCTATCCACTCAATCCACTGCTACAGTAATTCTGGGAGCACCCAGGAAGGACTATTACTGATGCCACCTTGCCAACAACATGGAGAAGCCAGGAATCATAAAATTTGAGATGTGTTATTCCTATCAGCATTTTTTTACTGGTTGAACCCGGCTAAGCCTACTCAGGTCTTTTTGAGTTTTAGTAAGGTTTTACGGCGCTCGCAACGGCATAAGTTCATTTGAGCGCCAAGGGGTGGATGTAAACAGAGAAGTCCTTACAGGGAATCAGGCTTACTCTGCTCACCTTTCTAGCCTCAACATCACAAAGTCTGCCTCAACTATCAAGGCACCCCGGAAATAGCAGTTCACAAGAGAGTGTGAAACATACAAAAGAAGTAGAGGAAAAATGACGATAGTAAGGATGAGGAAAGATAAAGCAGCAGCTCCCCCTATGTTGTTCCGGTACTGTATGAGCATGACATTAATAAATCAGCCCATTTACAGCCCATTTACAATTCTACTGTGCTTAAGAACATGGGAATGGCCTAAAGACAACTTCAGTCAGGAGAACTGCCCTGGGGGGTGGGGGGTGGGGGGGGGGGG